TTCAATTGAGGAGGTAGGCAATCTGCGTCACAGCCTTCTGGCTAGGATAGCAAGGTTTTGCCCATTTATTCCTATTTTTCACAATTATATTGCGATAAATCTCGATGATTTCGCCCTTTAAAATAGGAGGATGGGCAATCCGCACTTATTGCCTCAAAATCGCAATAATATAACGATAATTTCGAAACTTATGGCGATTTCTGCTAGTTTTTTTTTTTCTTTTACATTTCTCTGATTTTTCCATTTCATTTAAAGAAAAATATCCGAGGCCTTTATCTCGGAAACCAATTAATTATTGTTTGCGATTTATTTCTTAAATCAGTCAAATTTCGGTATAAATCCGACAACTACGAATCAAATCACAAGAGAAAGCTGTTCGGAGTCTCTGCGCTCGTCGCGTCGCGCCAGCTGCGCTGCACCGCGACGCGCGACGCACAGTGATCAAAAACTCTCCGCGTCGCAGATGATTGAGTCAAATCAGGAACCAAACAATATATTTGAGGGGCTTGGAGGACAAGGCACCTAAATGCAGTTTTTGGATAAATCGAGATATCAATGATTTCGAGTAAAACAAGCCTTAATACATACTCTGCGAAAAATTCGCTCCCGACTTCCAATTTTTACGCATCAAAAAGTCAGTTTAAAGTTTCATTCCGCCCTTAGGATCACTGAAAAAAAAATTCTCAGCGTTTTTACCACGGTCCGTTGGTACCTTTACCATCTCACTTTTTTTTACCAATTATTGGTAATTTTACCAAGACTGACTGGTACGCTTACCTAAAAACCGGTATTTTTACTGTTTTTTCAGCTAAGAATACCACTTTTATTGCGGTAATCAATTCCCGGTAACTTTGCCATTTTATCTCGGTAATTCTACTACAGTCGATAAAAAATATTGGCGTTTTTACCAGGGTCCAGTAAAATTACCGAGAAAGTTCAATAATTACCGAGTCAATAATACCGAGTCATTAATTCAATAATACCGAGAAATCTCGGTAAAATTACCAATTCCATAAATGGTAATTTTACCAAGAAAAAACTGGGATCAAATAGAACCCTGAATTCTTGGTAATTTTACCCTTTTCTTAGTAAATACACCGAGATTTTTTTTTTCAGTGTATACTTGTGGACACAATCGGCTTTTAATAAGACTGCGCTAGATCAGTAGTACCGGGTTGATTTTTGGGAGTTTAGGGTAGTTTTCGATGCCGTTAGCCGTTTCGTTTCGTTCGGCTGGGAGTTTACTATTGTGCGGCGGTTGCCAGAGCCACAGGTATTATCTAACCGTGCCTATACCTTTACCCGCTCGCGCTATGAACGGTCCAGTATAAAAATAGATCGAAGTAAAAGGAGGCGCGTTGATGACGGCGCAGAGATACAACTATTCGTACATAATGTATGTCCGTGTTGCATCTGCAAAATTGAAGGCGCGATGGCGCCATGCGTATGAACTCGCAATGCTCCTTTCTAGGCTGCCAGTGAGGTGTCGCTCAGTTCGAGAGAAAAATTTAAAATGCCCGATTCCGTCTCGACTCTGTTGTTCCTCAACTTTTTCTTATTTTTTCAATTTGAGGTTTGATTCTTTTTTGAACGCACAAATATTTACAGACCTGCATCTACGGCTTGTACGTACCGCGGTCCCTCACAACTCGCATGCGAGAGGATGGAGTCATAACTGAGAGTGTAAGATTACCCCTTCGGAGGTATTTCAAGGGTGCAAAAGAAATAGCTTTCAATTTATAAAATAGTGTGCAATAATCTTTGAATGTATGACCTGGAGCATTCTCCAAGTCCAAGTTCTTCCGGAAATAGTTCTGCTCCTTTTTTTTTTTTTTTTTTTTTTTTTTTTTTTTTTTTTTTTTTTTTTTTTTTTTTTTTTTTTTTTTTTTTTTTAGTTCACCTCTTTTTTTGTGGTGTCAAAATGTTACGGTCACTGTGGGAGATAATTCCAAGAGTCCCGATCGGTAGCGTTCTGTTGTATTGTAAGTGAACTAATCGGTAGTTCTAACGGAAAATGGAACGAATAAAAAATTCTGTACCATAAACATGTAAATATGTACATATCTCTCTCTCAATCTCTCAATCCTATTATCTGCCGCTTGTAAAATACTCTGAGATCGCATTTTCAAGGCATGTTCAGCTGCGATAAAAAACTCCGCACACGTTCTATGGAATGGAACCATTAACAATACTGCCGTGCTAAGGAAGAACACCGTATGAGTCCTCAGGCGTTGCCAAATCTCCTTGGAGGAATCTCGAATTTTTGGACAAATTTGTAAACTTTTTTCATCCAATTTTTTTAAGAATTTTGTTCGTGATTTCATCTAAAGTTTCTGGAAATTTGAAGGGAAAATATGCGTGACCGTCTTCAAAAATAAATATTTTCTCAGAGGCAATTCGGCAACATTCGAATGCTCGTACGGCGGTTTTCCGTAGCACGGCACGATAGCTGACAATGCTGGAAACACTGCAAACGAATACGAGCGATATCTGAATTCTGAGCTAAAACAGCGCTGAGTGTCCTATACAATAGGGGCGATCACGCGCGTTTCTTACCACGTGACCCATGTGGAATACTCGAATAACAGAATATGATTAACACATTTTCAATGGTTTTATGGACGGATATGCAGATGCTGGATCATATAAAATCTTACAATTTTTACCTATCTAAAGATACCTCACGGAAAAAATTGATCATAGGACGCCATATTTTGTGTCAGAACGCCATGCAATACATCGCATCGATTGGTCCCATTATTTCAGCTACTCGTCATTTTTCTCGAATTTTGAGATCGCAATTTTGTTGCCCGGAGACTAAGGAATGCACTTACCAATTTTCACAAACAAATTCAACGTATTAAGGCCGTGGTTTTTTTAGAGGAAAAAAATCGCATTTGACACTGATATCAAAACTGCACTCAAATGCGATATTTTTACTCTGAAAAAACCACGCCTTTAATACGCTGAATTTGGATGTCAAAATTGATAAATGAATTCTTTAGCTTCTTGGCAACAAAATTGCGATCTCAAAATATGAGAAAAATTACGATTAGCTGAAAAAATGGAACCAATCGATGCGGTATATCGCATGTCGTTCTGACACAAAATATGGCGTCCATCGAATCACCTTCAATTGTTAAAAAATATGTAAGACAATTTTCAAATGTACATTTTACAATGACGGAAAGCTAATTTAATAGGGGGTTGTTAAATTAGCATTTTATTTATTGTAAAATCTACATTGGAACATGTCGGATACTTTTTTCAACTACAAAATTGTTAAATCAGCCGCATCATTTTTTTCCGTGTGCCCTCCTCATTCTTCAGGTTTCATTTGCATCTCTGCATTCTACCAGAATAGTGATTATAACATTTGAGGGGCTTGGAGGACAAGGCACATAAGTGCAATTTTTGAAAAAAAAATTGAGTGATTATGATTTCAAGTAAAACTAGTCTTAATGCCTACGCTGTGAAAAGGTCGATCCCTAATTCCAATTTTTAAGCATCAAAAAGTTAGTTTGAACTTTTTTCCGTCATAATGATCCATGTAATTTCGAAACTTCAAACATGTGTTTCTCAATATAGCAATAACTCAGTGGCGAGGCGTGAATAGCGATATATCGATTGTTATGCCATTTAAACCTATGGAAAAGGATCGATAAACAGGGTGTTTGCAGCGAACACCTTAATAATCGATTCTTTACCATAGGTTTAAATGGCAGATCATTCGATACATCGCAATTCACGCCACGCCACTGCAAAAACTGCTCTTATGCGCCTTGTCCTCCAAGCCCCCGTTTAGCATATTTAAAAGAAATATGAAGAGCAATAATTATTCATAATCGTAGGAATGAGTTCGTGCAAGTTATGAAATACTTTTGATAATTTTTTAACGTAAAACGTGCTGTTTGGGACATAAACAAGCGCTTTTAAAAAATAAACTTGTCCTAAGAATCATGGGACTAAGTGGGAACTTTTTGTGGGGGAGGTCAAAGAGTGTATCTACTTTGGGGGAGGGAGCACAAAGAGAGACCCAACCAAGGGAATTCGTGGAATTCTCCCAGTTCCCATTCGAAGGTTTGGGGGATTTTCCTATCGAAAGGGGGTCCACAGCATCTCTTTAGGAAAAATATTTTGAAAAATTGAGTCGTCTAAGGAACAATTTTGATCTGTTCTCACCGAAAAATTTATCAAATAACAATTTCAAAAGTAAAAGATTGTTGTGTACTTACTAGGAAAAATCCCTCACACTTCTTGGGAGGGACCATGAAGATTTCTAGGGGGAGGGGGTAGTTTCCCCATAGCCCTCCTAGTTCCGACCATGCTTAAACTTTAGGAACAGAGAAAGCCTTAGTGTCGATTGGAAAAAAGGCACTTTTACTTACATCAATATGCTCGGCTTTCAGCGCAACTGACACAGAATTCATTATCACATATTTGCAAAAACAGCAGAACTGAAACCTGAAGATTTCCAGTCGATCTTGTGAGTGATGGTGGTTGAAGGACTGGAGTGGGAGGGGGCGTTGTAGAGTGAATGAGCAGTGATATTCGTGCGAGCGGTTCGTTGCTTGTTTCCAAGGCGTTTCATGAGAATATCGAAAATACAGCACACGAAAAATGAGAAAGGAACGATACATCTGTAATAAGGCCGGCAAGTTCTCTTAGCCGGCGCTCACTCGATGACAGGCGCGTCAATTTGAATTTTCGCGCTCAGATTTGAATTTGCGCGCTCCAGCCATCCCGCCATACTTGCGCAACGGAAACGCACGTCGCCCCACTCTGCGCATGTATAATCACAGAGTCATCTTTGCCGCTTTGAATAAAAATTCTATTTTCGTTGTATGCAAAATTACTATTTACCTATTCACAGCGGCAACAGTGTTATTTACGCACAAAGGAGTTGCGCAGTGGCCATCTGCGCAGTTTATGTTGGCTCACGGTCGAAGGGGAAGAGAGAAGAGAGGAGAAGCAGGCAGTGAGCGCAGGATTTCGTATTTTCGACTTTCGTATTCGAGTGGTTCGTGATGCGGTCAACAGACTTGCGTTGCCTTGTGCTGTGATGGAAAGTTAAAGTTTGCTCTATTTAGTGTCAATAATTACTCAGTTGAAAATGTTCTGACTAGATAGTTTGGTGTTTGTTAACCAATTTTCTATGTTGATTAATTTTTATCAGGTAAGAAGTTTTCCTACTAGATTTTAGATGGTTTGGGTCGATACGGTTCCTTATTGCGTCGTAGTTTTACACGGCAGCCATCTTATTAGTGACCTGAATCCTGCACTCGTTATTCACTATTTTTTAATTCTCAGTTTATTCAGAACGCTAGTTTATTTAGTTCACTTCCTCCTAATCGATCATCTTATTCATTTTACCTTTGGATCGATTCCGCATCGCAGTTTTCTGAATATACCGAGCATAAGTTGTTGAGTTCATTGTTCTCTTGGCCTCCTTTTGCACAGAAGGAAAGAGATTGGTTTCTTCCCTCTTTGAGTCTCTCCAGCTCTCATCCTAATATTACGGCAGTATTTAACTACTGCTGGCCAGTTTCGTTCTTAACTATTGGGGGATGTACTTGACTGTTTTCTCATTCTCACTGCCTGAGGGGAAAGTTTGTATTCATGTTCGTGCGGCCATTGTTCGAGCTTGTACATGAATGAAGGTCAGTGCAATCGGAACAGAAAATATATCTCCTATTTTGGGCAGATGGTACCTTACTTATTATTTGTGCTCATTTTTTTATTCTTATTCCTCTCCAATTTACTGTATTCAACTTGTAACCCGTAGCAGTTTCCTTCTTGATAACATCAACCTTTCATCCTCCTCCCATTTCAATGAGTTCCTTTTGATGATGTAGCGTCTCCACGCTGAAGACTTCCATGATATTTTTTATTCCTTCTGATTTTTCATCATCAGTCATTAAGAGGTGTGGGAGCCAATTCATATTGAGAAATATATGTATGACTGAGGAACCAAGAATGCCGTGCTTGTCCAGAGAGAATTGAGATGAAGCTTCCAGTATTGCCCATTCTGAGATTCCTGAGCTAGATGTGTCATCAGCCAAGTTGATGGTTGTTTACTTTTATTTTGTAAGAGCTAACGATGACTTTAGGCCTCTGCCCAAAGCGGCATTCGCTACCATTTACCTTGAAAACATCAGTTTCATAATCGTATCCTATGTAAACTACTGATCAGTTATGGTTCACGACTTTTATGTGGTTGTGATTTCTGTGTGGCTAATAATTAAAGTGTTACAAGGTTTGAAAGTGTTAAAAAATTAATTTTAAGCTTGTGTTCTTGCCTCTGCGAGAGTCTGATGTTTTCATGTGGATAGTAGTGACGCCTTAACGCTTGCAAACTGAAAGTAAACAACCGTCAACTTAGTTGACGACATTTCTTCAGATTATGATAGAACAGTCTTCAGTCCTCACACTACCACTCACCAACTGGGAGCTGATTATTGAAACTATGTTAGCACGACAAGACAAGACATAGCTCTATCTTAACCATGTAATATATTGCATTTTGATGTCTCATCGGGCTGCCTTAAACTTTCAATAATCAGCCCACTGGGTTTTAATAATGGACTGTTATCAGTAGAGTTTGCATGTTAATCACTTTCATTGATGAAATTGGATTAATTCTGTGAAAGAAACCGACGTATGTACCAAAGCAGTGGATGGCGGTCCACAGTGTTTTTTGAAGGATGGTATCACCCTTTATATTGGACGCAGAAACTAGGCGTGCGGATAGATTTTATTGTATTCAGGATTTTTAACTTCTTATGTTTTCAAGAAACTGGTGGATTAATAACGTATTTTAAATTGTTCACGGAAATTTCCTATAAAGGTTTCATGAATCGATACTGGTTGAAGTGGACACCTAGCGCGCAACCATATGAACCGTGCAGTACTTATTGTTAGTCATTTGGTTTCATTTGCATCATGCCGGCCTCTCAGTATTGCCGAATATGTAAGGACTGACTCGTCTGGTGCTTGCATCCGTATCCTTGCAGATGGGTGCTCAACTGACAACACTGGCTTGAGAAAATTGTAATTTACCTTAATTTTTCCGGCTGTTATTTATTTACAATTCAAAAATAGGGTTTCACAGTGCACAAATTCATACTGAGAAGTGTCACCGGGAGATAGCTAAAAACTATAGAGTTACTGGTATACTGTCACTAATTCAGCCTTAGAATTTTAAAACATGGAAGGGTTATTTAGGTGAGAGACGGAATTCAATTTTCTTGCTTGTTTTCCGGTCTTTAAGACTTTTTATTGCTTGTTTTTCTTAGGTAAAATTATTGAACTGGAGACATAGTAAGGACAATGAAAGAGAAACAGCAAGCCAGCTTGTACGACAAACGAGGAAGAATGGTCTCAAACATGCGGCAGCCTCACACCCAACGCGCAAGCGATAGAAGCAGTCACGATGTGTGCCATAAACTATCTAACAAATTTATCCTAGACTCTTTAAAAATTGATAAGCCTGTTTTTAATTCAAGTGATAAGCCTGTTACTACCAACAATCAGTACAATCGACAAGGCAGTGTGAACTCAAAGCCTGCTACTAAGAAATCAAAGCCTCAGCAGTGCTATTACATGAACAACAGCAACAAATTTTTCCAGCCTATCGAAGCTTTGTCCAAAGAAAATTCTCCAATCGCAGCTTCCCAGAAGAAGAAACCTAACCAATCTAGGAACAGGAATAGTCCATCTTGGAACAGAGATTGCACCCTATCACCAATTTTCACGTATTACGCAGGAGCCAAATTTAGCAGTCCTCCATCTCCTGACGAGCTGCCAAAACCACCCACCACCTGGCTTCAACCTGCGCCTGGGTCCTGTACTTGCCCATGTTCAAGCCCTTGCTCCAACTGTCCACCTGTGTCTTGTAATAGCCAAAATACTCTCCTGCACGTGCAAGCGTAATCTTTGTGTTCCAACTGCAAATCTCCGTGCTTTTCCTCGTTGACGAATTAGTGAAGTTTTGTTGAAGTATAAAATTTGTTGTAGGTTTAATATTGAAGTGGTGTAACAGTAATAGAATCATTGGTCTCGCTGCTCAAATTTAGACCAAAGCAATTTAGTATCAAAGACTTTATTAAGCGCAATTCTCAGTACGTCTCCTCAGCTTACCTCTCCACTTATCTTTTATGTAAGATTCTAAATCAGTCAGATTTCTGATAATTATTATTCAAAAAATAAGCATCTCTTTTTTTATCCAGTTTACCATCATTTTGGTTCATTGGTCTTTCAACTTTTTAAAAAATTTGACAGGTTAATTTACTTTTATTCTGGGATTCAATTTTTTTTCTTCATTTTTTTTTTTTTTTTTTTTTTTTTTTTTTTTTTTTTTTTTTTTTTTTTTTTTTATTTACTTTTTCCATTCATTCATCCCCCTCTTCCATTTTGGCATCATAATGTACTAAGAATTTGTTAAAATAAGCATTTTCCAACCTGTGCTCTACGGAACATTCTGTGGAATCCATTTCTTCAGATGTCTTATTTTTCGCAGTTTTCTAATTTTCAATCTCCCTGTTTAATTTATTTAATCATTTTTTTTAAAATTTAATACTATGAAGTATTCCTGCTGCTTAAAACAAGCTGTGTCTCTTGCTGTTTGAGTTCATATTTTTTCCCATCTCAACTGTTATTCTTTCTCTTTTTTTTTCTCCGTAGAGCAACAAAATTTTTGTTTCTGGGAATTAATTTTAAAATATTAAGTCACGAATGAAGTGTTTATTTACCAAAAGGTTTAAGCTCCAAATATTTATGAGCTGTAAAAAGTGTACTTTGTACAAGAAAACAGAACTCATTTGTTTTGTGGGCTATTGCCTTTTTGTAAGTGAACAGTTCAATTATCATGTAAGTGTCCCTTGTGCTTGTAAATCCCTCTGCCATTGATGTTAAACAAATTTCTGACTCTCATTATATCTGTATCCCGTTTTATCCTGCTAACTATTTAACATCAATCTTTGGAATTTGATGTATTTCCACGAGGCATGTCTGCCTCTTCAATTCGAACATAAGTTTAAAAAATTGAATGTAAATTTCATGTTTGAATGTTCATTTTCTGGCTATGCTAAACATCAAGTGATGCTTATGTGCAATAATTCTTGAAATAGTTTAATAGTCTTGAAATAGTCTATCGCAGAAGGATTATTTTAGTTTATTTATTTATTTTTTTTTTCAATTTTTCTTTCCGTTTCCAAAGCCTTAGTGTATACTGATATGGTATTATGTCTGACAAATTACCGTCATATTCCTGTTGATAGTTGTGGTGTAATTTCTGATTCTTACCACCGTTAATTCCATGTTTCCTAAATCAGGTTTAAGAGCTGATCTGCATTGCATGATGAGCTCTTCTGTGTGTAATTTTCCGATTTAATCATGTAATTTTTTCCCATTCAAAATGTGTCAGAAAAAGGTTTTGTCGCGAGATGACTCCCAATTTTCAACACAAAAATTTTTGAATCTCCTGCACATACCTGCGAGTACTTTCTTGTAGTCTGTAGCTAATTTACATCCTCTTTTTTAAATAATCTCGCAGGAATTATAGTTACACCCATCTATCAGCTCCGCTTAAAAGGCAGGATTTGTGAAATAGGCATTTTATTTGAACGAATCCTGTTAAAGAATGTTCTGCTTCTCATGTTTATATTCCTGCTTACTTCTGCATTTAACTTCTTTGAATGCTTCCATATTCTGCCGATTTTGACTCTCCTGGTATCTGCAGTTGTCTCAGCCATCATAGATTTCAAATTTTTTCATCCGAAATTTGCTTTCTTTATCTGAGGGGAAAATTTAATGATCATTCTTTTGTAATTCTTAAGTATCAGTTTAACCATGTTCAGTGTACCTGATTTAACATTTTTTCCACCTTATCGAACAAGCTGTTGATTTACATGTATGCCTACCATCAGTGTATCTCAGTCCAAACTTAAAACACTGAAGTTTAACTAAGCTGGTTCTTACTCCGAATTTTTGCATCTTTGTGGTGAAGTACCAAGAGTTCTGATCAGTCATTCCCTGATTTAAGTTCTTGCTCTTCCAGCAGCTGTGAAAATTGGGGGAAATTGTCAGTTAGAATGTAGGTTATTCTATTCTGTACTTAAAATTGTCAATTTTTCAACCTTTTTCTGTATTCAAGGCTACAGTAAGAAGCTTTTTTCTTTTCATTTTTTTGTTAAACAGTGAAACATGACAAAATACTTGAGCTCCGTAATCTGGCGTTTAACAGCATCTAGCTGGTCATTTTGAAATCTCATTATTTCGGTGTAAATTCTGCATAGAGATAATTTTTTTGCTGAATCCAAGCTTTTGTTTCTGTGCGTTGACAATATCAAGTAGCTTTAAGATAGAAACAGACAAGAAGTAAACAATATCTTTCAAATCAGTTCTCTGCAATCTTAACCATCTCTTCTCTTGAATCGAAGCTGAGTTTAAGTAATAAACCTCTATCCAATTCATCTCCAGAATGTCAACTTCGAAATAACTCGCTTACTTTTCTGACTTGCTATCAGATGAGTGGAGGTATTTTATGGCAAGGAATCTTGTACTCAGGTCAATCTTCGCTGAGGACATGCTTAATTGATCATTTTGCATTTTATGTTTTTATTTATCAGATACCAGTTGAACTGTTTTTTGCTTCTCATTTTGTCATGTTCATTGTAACTTGAGAGTGAGCAATTTTTTTTTTTTTGTTCTGAAAAAAGAACCTTAAGGCTTTTTTCTTTGCGTTCTGGAGTTGACATTTTTCGTTTCAACTCCAGAACTCAACACAAGCTTCCTTTCTTCCAAGTTCTAGCTCTGGCTTAAAGCATTGCATTTTTGATGTGATAGAACTTTATTTGCGCCAGCCACTTGTTTCATTGAAAACTCTGCCTTGACCAAGCCAACTAAGGCAGCAAACTTGTGTCTCAATCTATCACAAGTAGAATCTGAGCATTTTTGTGCTGCGAGGCTGTAACCAACAGGCGATGTCAACTGTTTTATCTAAAAGTTCATACTAAAAGCAAGAACCATCAATCATCTGTTCTGTTTTCTGCCACAAAAATTTCTAACCGGAAGCTAAAGCTGAAAGATGAGTGTCTCCAGTGCAGTTTCTAATCTGTGCCTTTCGAAACTGTATGTTTACCATTATCTAAGCACATTTTTAATCGATACCTCACTTTCTTTGTTTAGCTCTTAAGTGTTTTTTTCCAAATGCTGGTCTTTCAGGAAAGGTAGTCTGTTTTTTAACTCTTTGTCCCAGAGCTTGAAAAAAAACAAAGATTTTTAAATGGAATTGTATTTTTTGAGTTCTGTGACGTAGAGATTATGTATATTTTTGGAATAAGTGCTGCTAAAGCAACAGAATTTGTTTCTGATCCATGATCAATCAATTCCAAGACGACCTAAGTATCAGCGCTATCGTCAATGTCTGCACAAATTGTCCATTGTTCGTTAATGTACACTACTCTGGCACGCCCAATCTGTGCTAAATTTTGCAAGTGAAATTTGTGATGCTCACTCTTTTTTTTGCGAATCTCGCAATTTCTATTGTTGGTAAATCAAATTTCAAGGTCTATCTGTTGATAGTCAGATTTTATTTTTATAGGGTGTTTTATTAGAATAAGTAACTGTCACGTTTTAATAATTGTTGAAGAGTCGGAGCGGTTCCTTTTCATTATCTTGGTTCAAGCATTTCTGTTAGAAATCTTGCTCGTTCCTGACTCTTACTTACCATTCTTCAGTTATTTCTTAAAATGTGAGTCTAGTAAAACAACCTGGTGCCAAAAGGCAATTCAATTGCTCTTGTAGAGCAACAAACAGTCAGTTTTTCCTTCCCTCAATCAGTTTTGGCTCAATATCTCAGTACCTACAAAACATTTTTTATTTTATTATTTCTGCCCCATCAGTCTATCAATATCAGTTTTTAATGCTTGATTTGCAAGAAATTTTGACTAAGTTCAATTCAATGCTATGAAGCCGTATTCTGGTAATCTCAGATTCTTTGAACTAAGTTTAATTTTACATATCAGCCCAAATCTCTTTTTCTCTGATGAACGCATGTTGAAGTGAAAGCAAAATGTGTTTGAAAGAGAAGAAAAATTAGCTCCTCTAAGCAACTGTTTTATCAGTTGAGGACTAATTTTTAATTTATCATTTAATGTGTTTGGTTTCCATAATGTGTGTTCATTGTAGGGCCAGGACTGCTTGTTACTCCAGTAATTATGTCAATGGTAGACCTGTTTTGTTTTCCTCTCTCCCATTCTTTTCGACACTCCCTTTTAGAATTTTTCAAATCGGTCCTAGAAGGGAGAAAACAAATGAATTATTTTTATACTTTTAATATTTTAGTTACTATCTTTAATTGTATTCATTAGCGTGTAAGTTAAAACATTCATTCATTCTCGCTTGGAAATTGTCTTTTGAACAGGCCTTCAATTTTTTTTTTTTTTTTTTTTTTTTTCTTTTCCATGTTCGACATTTTTCGGTTGTGGAATGTTAAAACTCAATATTTTTTCATGTTTGCTAGCCATAGAGATGAATGAATGTTTTTCATTGTGATCCTAATTATGTCATATTTTTTTTTTCTTTTTTTTTCTCTTTCATAAGTAGCCTGTGAAAACTGAAATAATGAGGTGATTTTTTTTTTTTTTTTCAAAGTTTAGTATTGATCGGGACCCTGGAGGCGTTAGATATGAAAAAATTTATGTGAAACCTCACAAAAACTCCAATTTTCTTCATGAAGTTTCTCTTTTAAGAAGTGTCATAACTGCATTTTTAAATGTCCCTCCAGAAATGTAGGAATTAACATGGTTTCCAGTTCTTTTGCTCATCGGTCTCAGTAGAAATCATGTTTTAGAAAAAGGAAAATAATCGTAGGTATACTTCAAAGAAGAAGAAAGAAAGCAAGCATTAAATGACAAGTTTCAATTTACCCGTGACTTAACAGAGGTATTAGTTGATTGAAAGGATAATGCCTAGCATTAACGTTTATATTCCTCTATTTATTACTTTTGTATTCATTTAAGTTACCACCTCATTAGTATTACTATATCTTTGTCCGAATGTCATGTCATTCCAGGATCGTTTCGGCATCAATTCTTGTCGGAACTATCACCTGATGCTTCATCGTCAGTGTTTAGTATTTCCGGCGGGTTTTGATGACGTATTTGTAATGTTTTACTCGCA